TCCCTTTAAAAGGGCCCTTTCTTTAAGATTTGAAAAGTAGATGGGGCTTATTGATCCCATGATTCCAATGTTGTCAAGAGATCAGGTCTGGGCTAAGTCAAAGTAGACCCAATCCTGACACAATAAGAAACCCAAACCTTATACATTCTACAAGTAATAGACCCAAAACCAACCCTGTTATTAATTGGGCTTAGACTTAGAACCCGTTCGGCACACTTTCTGCATGGGTTGTCGTCTGTCTAGAAGCCCAGAAGCCCGTGTTTTCGTCTTTTCCCATTTGGTTGGGGGAAGATCTACCGCCGAAAGACTCTGCCCCAAAAAGACGAGAGAAGCCCATTTCGGGCTATTTTCAGGAAGCTCCAAATGGAGCTTTTCAACTTTTTTCGTCTCGTCTTCACACGGAAAGATGCGCCTCCAACCAGTCTGTGGACTGCCAAGATCTTTATGTAAAAGCCCACTATGTCTCTTGGCTACCAGATCTTTCAAAAAAGACTTGCCAAACAGCACCTTAATTTTAACTATCTGGCCTTTTAGCTTGGTAATTTGACAATAAATTTGCTAATTCTCTTGCTTCCTTCTCAAAATATCTTATATATCTATAATATATAAAGTGGATACTTGCCTTGGTTTTGGTGCAGGTCATAAAAGTCAATCAAAAGTCATATCCTAAGGTTTACCCTATCTTTACTTGAACACATGCCCTTATACTAGTCTCTTATAAAGTACCAGTTTTTTACATCTTATATGAAATTATTATAGGCAAACTATGAGAAACAATATAAAAATGTTGGGAGGTATCTTTGTCATGTGCTATGATGTACATATATGTATACATTTCCATATGTATAATTGTATGTGTATTTACAATTTTACATTATAGCCTATAGGTACAGGTCCTTAAGTAAACCCAATTCTGGCCCTACTATAATAATCTATAATCAGGATTCAGGACTCAAACTGCAGACCTAGAACTGACATTATTTTTTTTATCAGCAAAAAGATTGTTTCATTAATTAAAATATGTGGAGTTAATTACAGAATGATGACCCAATAGTCATCCCCAAGGATTACAACCCAAGTTACAACGAGACCCAATATAGTTTCTGCCTTGCAGCCCCTTGTTTGGCTAAAGTATCTGTTAATCCATTTGCACTCCTCCCGATCCACCTAAAATCAGCATTTATATCCTTTTCTAATATCTCCACTTCTCTGAAGATATGCTTGAGGGTCCATGGGACGTGTCTATTACATTTTTCCCAAGAGATTACAACTTTTGATCCACTTCCACCTGACGAAAACCCAATTGCTTTGCCAATCGGAGGCCCTGTAATAATGCCAATAACTCAGCCTTTGTTGAGTTTGTAATACCAATTGGCCCTGAATATAGAGCCAATATCTTGCATTCTTCATTTCTGATTGCTCCCCCAATTCCTACCACTCCCGGGTTGACCATAGAGCTTCCATCAAAATTCAGTTTCACTTTGTTTACCTCTAGTGGTTTCCATTTAATTCTTAAGATTTCCTTGCCCTTAGAGGACTGTGCTCTCTTTCCATGCCCTTTGGATGTCAGTTACAGAGAAAACTTGAAAACTGTTCAAGGTTTTTATCCACAATGCGACCCTCAATTTTATGCTGTCAATGACCTCTTCCAAAGTTCTGGATTTTCCAGCAAAAATTCTGTTATTTCTTTCCTCCCATACTCCCCAAGCAATAGCCGCTTTGGTAACTTTCCACATAATTCTCCCTCTCTTCTTTGGTTGCCTCAAGAAGTTAGGATTGAAAATGTCTATCACCTCTTGGGGAGGGTCCCATCTGCAACCAAAGAGAGCAGAAAAAAAATCCCAAATACGACGTACAAATGGGCAAGAGATCAATAAGTGGAAGTGGGACTCTCCACTATTCCTACAAAGAAAATACATATGAGGAGAGAGGCAAGTGAAAGGCCTCCTTTTCTGCAACAAGTCGCAAGTATTTGCCTTACCAAGGAAAAGGGTCCAGCAGAAAGCTTGGATTTTTTGGAGGGGTAGATAGGTTTGCTCCAAATTTCTTTCACCGGTAGAGCCACCCCTTGGGGCCTAGCAGAAGCAAGATGACTGAGAAAAAAGGATCAAGAGAAGAGCCCATCTGGGGAGATTACCCAGAATCTAGAATCCTCCAAATTGGGGTCCAAGTAAACTGATTGCAAGGTTCCAAGGAGATCAGTCAACGAGATACACTCTCTATCCCTAAGGCCTCTTCTGAAACCAAGGTTCCAGTTAATGCCTGAATGGGGAGCCACACCCAAATTAGAAATGGTTTCATTCTTGAAGTCAGAAATGGTATAAAGCCAAATTTAGCATCCCAGCCATTGCAATCTAGACCATGAATACTTGCAATTACTTTGTGCCACAACCTATCTCTTTCAAAGGGAAACCTCCATAACCATTTACTCAACAATGTGGTGTTCCTTAGGGCAGTGTTTCCCAATCCTAGACCCCCTTGCTCTTTTGGCTTACTAACTTGTTCCTACTTGACTAACTGATCATTTTTTCCCTCCCCCGGGTTCCCAAGGGAAATCCCTCATGAACTTCTCTAAATGTTTCGCTATCCTTGCCGGGATACGAAAGGTAGAAGGAAAGTAAATGGGTAGATTTGCTACAGTTGCCCTAACCAATGCAACTCTTCCCCCTAAAGATAAATAAGTTCTCCTCCAAGTGACAGCTTCTTTGCAAACCTTTCAACCACCGGCTTCCAGAATCCTTCTGTCCTCCCCCCCCCCCCCCCCAAAGATAAGCCAAGGTAGGTAATGGGCCAACTTCTAATCTCACACCCCCAATACCCCTGCAAAGCTCAAGAGCTCATCTTCCTCCACATTAATTCCAGCAATTCCGCTTTTGTTCCAATTGATTCTCAAACTAGAAATATCCTCAAAATTCTCAATCAGCGACTTTAGGTTACTCACCATTTCCAGATCAAGATTCTCACAAAACAAAATTATATCATCAGCAGATTGGAGATGTGAAACAATTACTTGATCTCCTCCAACCCTCCCTGACATTATTAATAATTGGAACAAAGTATATACACAGGTCCTATGTAATAGGGTTGATAGGGACCATGACTTGGTGTAGTGATAAAATCTTGGGCTGGCAGGAATTAGAACATGGATTCAAATATGAGGCCAGCCACTTTATGTGGGAAAAAATTCCAAAGGTTAGAACCATACCCATTCTACCCTCCCAAGACCCCAGATAGCTGGGGCCAACACTGGGTAATGGCCATTTTTTTAATACCCTATGTAATAGGGTTGATAGATTTAGGTCTGTCAGGTTGACCCAAACAATTGACAGCCCCATGTGATTCTCCAAACAATTTAGTCTTTTGCTAATCTGTTATGTAAAGTTGAAAACAGAAAATGTTCTTTCTCAAACAAAAGAGGTTTAACAAAGAAGGTAAAAGCTTTCAAACAAAAGAGGTGGATTTGGTTAATAGCCAGGTTTAACAAAAGTGGTAAAAAGAGGATCATTAATGGCCCTAGAAAGCTGCTTGACGAGGGAGAGTTGCAGAGAACTTCCAAAAGGACTAGCAGATCAGGAAATCGAAAAAGAAAAATCCGGTAGGCTGAAGGTGGGGATTCCGACTCTCACTCGGAGACAGGTTGCAGTAAGGAAGAAAACCTTAAAGAAGCCAGCAAAGATGAATTGGGGAGACAGGAAAGGTTGAAGGTCCAGGAAGAGAAGAGATCTCCAGTCAACCAGGATTCAAGGACTACATAGTATGCAGCTGAGGCTGCAGAAGGAAGTAAGGGAAGAGAGCATGTGTGTCATGATAGAGAGAGAGAGAGAGAGCAGAACAGACACAAAAAAATTCAAGAAGTCAAGGAAATAGTTCAAAACAGTGGAGAGGGAGGTGGAGGTGGGAAAGTCTCTCGGGATAGTTTTTGGGGAGGGGAAAGCTTTGCAAAGATAGCATTTGAGAAGTTCGAAAAAAGAAAAGAGAAGAGAATAAGAAGAGGGAAGAATATCTAGAAAAAATAAAGGGGTGGGACGAGGAAGGAGAAGAGGAGGGGTTGGACAAGATTGAGTGAATTGGGGGGAGGGGGAAGACAGGGAGAAGGGGAGGAAGTTGAGGATTCTCAGTTGGAATGTTAGGGATATGAGGGATGGAAGAAGGAGATAGTGAGGATCATTCTTTGAAGCATGGGGTGATGAGGGAGGAGATTGGGTGGAGCTTAGAGCTTCGGGGATGTCGGGGGGAGCTGTAAATTTTATGGTTTTCAGGGGTATATGAAGCACTTTGGAACTGAATCCTTGTAATTTTGTCTCTTTTCAGTGTAATTCTGTTATGTTGTTGGTTTGTCAACTAGACAACCAGCATTTTGAGATGTATTGTTTTTTTCGGTTTAATGAAATTTCTTTTTGTCCTTGAAAAAAAAAACGGAAAATGTTGACTTGATGGGTAACTATTCTGCTTGGATTTGTTATAGTTGATCCAACAGTGTCCTTCAACATTTGGGCTTTGAGCAGTGGATGAGGGTCTATTGATTCTTTGATTCTCAAGACAAGGCAAGAGAATTTTTCTTATAGGGGGATGCATCCCCACTGCTGTTATTTTGGGGAGTACACTCATTAACATTTCAAACCATTAGTTTGGTTTGGCAACATTAGGTGATAAAAGACTTTTCAGTATTCATTAAAAGGGAATAAGACTTCCTCTTGTTGTGACATATCAGATAATAATTATCAAGACCTAGAAAAGCGTAGAAGTGATGGAAACATCTAAAAAACAGTTGTCTTTTGATTACTTCTTTCTGCTAACTGGCTTAAATATTAAATCTATTGCAGACCTTCTTGATGTGCTGTCACAAAACAAAGATGAGAAACCAAACCATGCTTATGTTCACATAATTATGACTATAGATACACCTCTCAAAGAGATGCAAAAATAGGCTTCAACTATGTTCATATATTTGCAGGAATCATTCTGCTAGATACTCCAAATTTGTGATGCTGCAATGACCATTTCAACTCTTCAAAGATGACATATTATCTGCATAAATTTCAAATGGTAACGTTTTACAGCATAACAAAGGGTCATACAGATCCTCACTGACAGATATAAGTAAGATAAGATCCTAATCATGCAATCATCTCCATGTGTCATTCTAGTTACATGTCCAGCAAGAGATACAAAAAGAAAGACTGAAGAACAGGAGAATTATGAAATAGAATATATGGTTTCATTTAAATTTCTACGGTACAGAGCCTACAACTTATATTGAATTTTGACTGTGCTAACTCCTACACTGCCTTCCCCATAACCAGTGGCTTAGGAGGGGAAAGAGATCTAACTTCAGGTGCAGAACTAGGAAAGAGTGTGTTAAGCTTGTGCATGAGGATGTCAGCCCTAGATGGAATCTCATTAAGAAGAAACTGCTGAACAATTGGTTTCTTAAACCATTCCAATACAGAATCTCCTGGGCTCCTCAATACAACCTTACTGACTTCAAATGGAGATTCTACTGAACTTAGCATCTGTGCTATCACAATTTTCAGGGTGGGTCCTGTAACTAATTTGATCCGTCTTGGAACAACACCATAATACAACATGCGCTTCCTAAATCTATGGAGGGTGTGAACAACAGCTATCAAAGCAGCACCTACAGACAAGTTTCTAACATCCAAGGACCAGGCAATATGCTGATCAAAAACTATTGCCTTGGGGAAAAGCTTATTCTCATAGGCAACCTTCCATACACAACGAGCTCGGTTGATTTGTCCCATGAGCACAAGATAGTTAAGAAGCACATTAACATAGTACCTAGCAGCACCCTCTTCCAACTCATAATCAATGCTCTGGAAAAATTCTCTGACAAATGACAAAACTGGCTGTTTCCTCTGCTCTGGACCAGTAAACAATCCACACATGAAAGCATGTGCCTTATGTTTTGTAGCACTCAAGATAGACATTATGTGTCTCTCATTCTGCTCATCCTGGCACCGCACAAGATGGGCCAAGATTGATGTATATAATATGAGATCAACCTTTGCAGCTGAATTGACATAAGTCTCAAGGAGAGGCTTGGCTGACTCATACAATCCATTCTTCATGCATGACTCAAAGAGCTGCCTGATGATGAAGTTGTTGGTTCGAATTCCAGATGCACCTATGAAACGTAGCCACCTCAAAGCAAGATCTACAGACCCATCTTTAATATAGATCATCAAAACATCACAAGCACTCACATCAACAGAGTAACCCATGGTTTTCATCTCAAGTAAAACCTTTGCAGCCACATCAACAAGTTTCTTATTTGCTAGGACTGTCAATAGGGCAGCATATGTGCTTAGACCGGGTCTCAGGCCAGCATTGGTCATTGAATTATACAATTTCATGGCAGAATCTACTTGTCCAGAAGCAGCATGCATTTCCAAGAGGCAAGAATAGGTAGAAGGGGTAGGTAGAAACCCAGCTTTTTCCATATCTGAGAAAACTGACATTGCAATGTCAAGTTTCCCTGATTTCGCATGGGACTCCACAATCATTGTGTATAACCCATAATTTGGCCTGAACCCTGCTTTCTTCATCTCATCCCAAAGCCTCAGAGCTGTCTCTAGCTTCCCAGCCTTAACAAATGACTCAATCAAAGAGACGTACATCGTCACAGATGGCCTGAACCCAAAACCCTGCATTTCCATGTAGACTTTCATTGATGTATCCAACCTTCCAGCTTTCCCCATTGAATCAACTAGAGATGCAAAGATAGAAAAGTTTGGCCTAAAACCCTTCTCTTTCATTTCTTGGAAAAGCTTGAAGGCAGCATCCAGACGCCCAGATTTTGCTAGGCTTGGTATCATCAATTCATAGGTAGACCCATCCAATGAACACCCAGATTCTTCCATGGTCTCGTATATCTCAAATGCCTTGTAAGGCAGACCCTTGTTCAGAAACAATGTCATGAGCGAATTATAGGTGTGAGTATCAATTCTAGATCCTGAATCTTTAATTTTCTTGAAAAAACAGAAGGAAAGCTCTAATTTCTCAGCTCTGGCTAAATGCTGAATCACCCGATTATATGCCGTGAAAGATGAAATCCCATTATTTGCACATTCTCTAACCATATCATCGAATAGTGACTGAATTGCTTCAAATTCTCTGCTCTGATTCAATCGATCAAACAAATGAGTGTAGCATTCATCACTCGGGAAATACCAAGATTGCCTCCTCGCCCATTGGAATAAGCTCAAAGATGCATCACTTTCTCCAATCTCCTTCAACGCTTGGTTTACATGAGACATATTAGGAACAAAATGGAGTTTATCAAGCTGGGTTTCCATTTCAGGACCCCATCTCCACCTCTTAACAACTTCCACGATCTTCGAAACTGCGGAAGCATTCAAAAATGGCTTCTTTAGTTCGCCCACCATAACATGGTCATCTAGCCCTGGCTCAACCGATCGAATTCCCTTTCCGGAGAAAATCACACTGCCCTTTTCATCTAAATACTCTATATCTTCCGTCCATTCAGTCGAATCATTACAGCTCTCTCCAGAAGAAAAAGTTCTGCAGAAACTAGAGTATCCTGTGGGAAACTTAGGGAAGATCAAATCAAAGTTCTCCTTCTGAGCTAAAAAACTAAAATTTCCGGAGCAACCCCTATGTATTGATCGGGAGAAACCTACGTTAACTGTGTTAAAGATTCGGTTAGAGGGAACAATAGAGTTTTGCGTAAGAAAACAGAGATTGCTCAGTCGAGTGGTTGCTCGTTTCAGCCTTATGGGGCAAAGAACACTGCGGTAAATAGCCATTATGCGTATTTCGAAATGAAGAGATTTCATGACTCGAAGATATGTTCATAAACCGAACTCGAACTGAGAATAGGGTTTGTTCGAACACTAACCTGCATTAGGGAATTCGCCATGGTGAAGGAAGGTTAGAGTCGAGACTCGCACGCTCGGCTACGATGAAAACGCTACTTATTTGGTGCGCAGGAAGCCCATTGTGACCTGTTAGTGACGGGATCTGCTAGCTGCTACGCACAAAGGTGACCTGTTACTGTTAATCCGGTTTCTGACACATCCGCGCCCCACAAGCGCACCATATGTATATCTCAGCGTGCAATAATTTGTCATTGGGAAATATTCCCAATACACGGTCGGGATTTGCATTTGTGGGGCGCCCTATGTGGGGCACAGATGCGAATTTGCATTTGCCATTTCTTGAAAAAGGAATTATTCCTTTTTGCATTTAAAAATGAGTTCGTATCAGCGCCTTGTAAGGGGCGCCCCATAATGCCCCATGCTCCCATACCATATTCCGACCTTGTATTGGCTCACAGAAGATATTCTCAATACAATGTCAAGATGTGTTGTGGGGCATTGTGGGGCGTGCCCTTGTACGATATTGAAAAACTAGAGGCATTTTAACAGTAAAATGAAGATAAGTCGTTAAAGTTGTGTTTGTTTGCGGTATAAAACGTCGTTAATAGAGTTTTCACACCGAATCATTTGAAAAAAATTGAGTCTCAGAAAAAAGTTGTGTAGTGTGGTGTAGTTGAGACCATACCATGTCATCTCAGGATAGGTGTTCTGTAATATGGTCAAATTTTGGTAGCTTAAAGGCCCTAAACCACATCACACTTACATAGGCATTCTACAAGGTGTGGTGTGGTATATTTTGATTATGTGTATCTCATATACACAATGCAAGGTGATCTATGCCGTCAATGAAAAAGTAATATTTTTTGGCATTTTAAGCAAAATGCAAATCAATAATATGAATTAATTTTAACATGTGATACAAAAATTAATAGTAATATAATTTAAAAAATTAAAAAATGTAAGAGAATTAACAAATAAAAAGTTAAAAAATTAAGATTGATCAACAAATTAAAAACATTACTAATAATAAAATTAGTTAAATAATAATTAATATTTATAATAAAATTAAGAAAAATAATAATTAAAAATATAAAAAGTTAAAATTAATATTGATCAAAAAAATCAAATAATTACTAGTAATAAAATTAATAAAGTAATAATTAATATTGATAATAAAATTAATAAAAGGATAATTAAAAATATAAGCAAACCATAAAAAATAAAAATAAAAAGTTAAAAAATTATATTGATCAAAAAATAAAAAACATTAATAATAATAAAATTAATAAAATAATAATTAATATTGATAATAAATATCTCAACTTATATACTTGTTTTTGAGATATTTTTTTTATTTGGCATCTGTTTTAGCTTTACTAGGCAAATCAGAAAGGCAATAAAGACCTCAAAGACAGTTTGGAAACTTAGGCTTTGCATGAATTTAAGGCCTTTACATGCTTTTCCTTTACTATTTTAAACGTGTTACTCTTCAAATTGACCATAGAAATTGCATCCAGACAATTCATTGGTACTCGTCAAACAAAACTTATAATTGACTGGCTCATTGTTGGGTGGTTGGAGTATTTGATGGATAAAGTTTGATTATGGCTACTTGGTTTCTGTCATCCCATGGGTTCAGATGTCCTAGACGGGGTACTTTACCACCCCCAAACCCATCCTGCTTCTTTTTAGCTCTTTTTATCTCCTTCATAAAGTTTTTGCACTGCCAATGAACCAAAGTAATACCGGTTTCTGTTGGAAGTTGTTCTCCTTCCTGTATTTTATTAGTTAATGAGATCTTCCTCAGTTTCCTTTGTTTTCTTTGGAAGGTTGGGTTTTAATTTGTTGTTCACAAATTCAGTTTAGTTTACCAGCATTATTATCAGAGTCTTGCTGTGCACAAAAGTAAATAAGATTATAAGATTAGTTTTTCCTTTTCAGTAAGCAATTAGAAGTCTGATTTTCTTCACACTATTTCTAGTTTATGCATTTTAGCTTCAACTCCATTATAGAAAAGTAAAACAAAAGTAGTGTCCTTAGAATTTGGTTTTCCAAGCTCATTACATTTGGCGATGCAGATTAGAGGTTTCTTGAAAGTTCAACCCAAGACATATATATAAGAACATATAACGTCTGTTGGAATGGTTAAAACAAACAAAATCCTATCTGTTGAAGCTTTGTTCAGGAATGAAACACAAACCTTTACTATCTATTAGACGTTATCCAACAGACCTCTGTTGGAGCTTTGTTTAGGGATGAAGCAAAGTCAAACAAAACATAGTTCGACCCAACTCCCAAAACATATAATAACATATAAGTACAGAGGAAGGAAATAAACCAAGTAAGAACAGGGGTAATTAATTCCCTCTAAGAGAACGGCAATGGAGGTGAGAACCAGGACGATAATGGAGGTTGTCGGGTGGGAAAAAATGACTGTGGATGTCGAAGAGACTCTGGATCTCCTGCCCACAATAACTCTGCCCACACCTACCCACAATACACTATCCCTGTGAATTGGGAACATCTCCCCCTGCATAATACTATGCAGAGGATGAGATGTTCTCCATGTATGGTTGACATAAACGTGGGCAGAGTTCTCGTGGGCAGGAGATCCGGACTCTGTCGAAGATAGAGAAACAAAGAATGGTACTGGAAGGCCCTCATCTAGCTAAGAGTGGTGGGGAGAAGCATAATAACGGCAGTGGACTAGTTGCAACAGCAAAATGTTTAGGTCATTTGGATAGATGTGACGTATCACTATCAGAATAGATTATGGGACTATAGTCCCTTTAACATGGTTGACACGAATCCCGATCTCCTACCCACGAGAACTCTGCCCACATTTATCGCAACACACATAGAGAACATCTCATCCTCTGCATAGTATTATGCAGGGGGAGATGTTCCCAATTCACGGGGTGTAGTGTATTGTGGGTAGGCGTGGGCAGAGTTCTTGTGGGCAGGAGATCTAGAGTCGGTTGACACCACGAAATATACCTGTGGTCGAGAAATTGGGCGTGGTATGGTCGAGACTCGAGACTAGACCTGTTCACGGGTCAAGCTTTTACTCTTTATCAACATCATGTTATATTCAAAGCCTGAGCCCAAGCCCAAAGCCCAACCTGAGAGAGAGATTGATCATATTCTCTGTAGCATAAAAATGATAAGAGGAGATGGTTAACGGTAAACAACCTATGGTTTGGATGGAATGGGAATTCAATGACTACTATAAGCACCATTATCTGAGTGAGAAGTAGAAAGATTGAAATAGAAAGCCAAAATGAGTAGTGATTGACAATTAAAGGCAAATCCTTATGAGCTAAATGACATGGGAAAACTTCTTATATGGTACTTTTTTTTACAATATTGTAATTTCCTTTTTTGTATTTGGTATTGCTTAGTATACTATGCTTTGATTCCAACAAGAAATTAATCAAAAAGAAACAAGTCGGGAACAATCCCTATGGGTGGAGCTTATATGCTTTAACCATCAATTGGATGTGATGCAAGCAAACCCATTAACATTAAACAAATATGGGGTTAGTGAATGAGAGAGGGGGGGAACCCAATGGTGAGTTGCTGCTGGTTGGTGGCTAGAGAGAAAAGCGAGAGAGAGAGAGAGAGAGGAAACCCAATGGTAAGTTTCCACTTGTTGTTGTCTCTTGATGTCATCAATCACTGTTGTGAAAGGGGATGGAATGGAAGAAAAGCATAGGAGAGAATGGTGATGCTGACTGCTTTAGGTACTTGGAACTTAGAGGAGGATGCCGTCATCTCCTTGCTGGTTTCCGCCTATGGATAATGTTGTCAAGCCACCGCTATGCAATTTACAAAACAGAGAGTTGAAGAGCATCGACTATGTTTTGTAAATTATTATCGAGCTAAGCTTTTTCGTAAAATCCCAAGCCCAACCCGAAATTAAGTCAGGCTTAGATAATAGGGCCCGAGCCCGAGCCCACGGGCCTAATAATATGTTAAAGCCCGACCACAGCCAAGCCAGGTGGTCGGTCTACCCGACCCATGAACAGGTCTAGTCGAGACCACGAGATATTGAATTTCGAACCACACCACACCTATACCAAATGCATCAAAGGTAGTTTGGTGTGGTTCGAAACCACACTATCACACACCACCATAATATTACATTGATTTTATCGATATAGTTTTTTACATTAATAATCAATGTAAAACTTCACTTGATGTAAATCAAACCCCCATCCAACGCCGACAAAACCAAACTACTAATGATGCTTTACACTGCATCCAACTGTCAACAAAACTGAACCGGTGGTGATGTTTTACACCACAAACAAATGCAGCCTAAAATAAGGAATGTCAAATGCTTAGTAAAGATGTTTACTTTTATTAAATTTTAATTTATATAGTAAAATGTTTAGTAATGTTAGAATTTGTTATTATAAATCAAGTATGATATTATTGTAATTAATTTTAACAATTATTATTATTAAAATAAAAATAGTAATGTATTTTAAATTTGCATTTATGTTAATCATTTTTGAATTTAAATTAAATTTTATTACTTTATAATTAAAAAATTATTAAATTTTATAATGAAAATATTAAAATATTATTTCTAATTATAATAATTTTTTTAATAACTATTAAATTTTATTATTTGCCTTGTTATATTATTTATTTTTCTCTTATTAGTATTGTATATATTTTTTACTAATCTTATTTCATGTTTAGGTTTTAATTTAAATTAGTTTTCAAAAAAAAAAAACTTAAACATTAATATTTTAATACATTGATGAAAAATTAAATGCATGTATTATTTAATATTAAATGCAAGTATTTAGAAGGTAGAGAGATATAGAGATAGAAATAGATAGAGAAAGAAAGAGATAGCGGGTGGGAAAGAGACTTAGAATATAGTTTATTGGGCATGTGAATTTTAGATAGATTAGGAGAATTTTTAGGAAGAAGTTGTAGGTAGGAGAGATAGTTTAGGAAAAAAATTTAGGAGGTGATATGATTTAGGTGATTGGGGGGCGGGGGGAGAGAGAGAGAAAGAGATTTTAGGAAGATTTTGAAGGGAAAAAGGAGAGTGTTTAATTA